GGGGGTGTGGGGGGGGGGGGGGGGGGGGGGGGGGTGAGGGAGTTGGCCATTGACAATTAATGGTTGTGAAAATGCATGATTTATTTCGTGCACATTTGTGTTATGAACCTAGAGTGATCAAAATGGATTTATCTAGTTGATTTTATTATTATCGAGAATAAATGTGTAAAGCAAAGTATGTTATCAACACGATTATCTGGTAATTATCAGAATTGTTGAAGTAAATGATCTTGTAATTTAGATTTTATTTTTTCGTAATTAATACCAAAAAAGTTACTTATTACCATCCTTATTTATCAAGGAATGGATAGATTGTCATTGAGGCTCACATTCTGAATAGTGTACAAACTTTTCATTTAACAAAAAGCCATGAGACTTGCTGCTGGTCAGGTTCACATTTGGCAAGAACTTACATAAAGTGCTAAGATTGCATAGTGTAGAGATCGCAATCAAAAAAGAGTACATGGAAATATTATGAAGAGACTTCTTATTGACTAAAATTCCACCCTCTGCCTCAGGGCTTCAAATATTTAAATAGATATTCAACATTTTAGTTAAAAGTGTTAGAAATAGTTAGATTTTATCTATGTTTTGTCTTTTTCGATATGATCCTCGACAAGACTCATTTTCCATATCAAACTTTATAAAGAGGTGGAAACAAAACTCGAATTCACTAATATTTCTTTATAATTTTCTTCATTGATTAAATTAAAATGTTTTTATATGGGTTCACCAGTACATTACACGAGAAGTTAAATTGGATACATACGTTAGTGCTTGGTTCTCTTGTTCTTGAAGCAACAATATCTTNTATTTTTGTTCTTGAAAATATCATAAAGAGGGGTTTGATTAGCATGTAGCATTTGTCCTTTTCTTCTTTATTAGAAAGGTTTTGAATTCATGTATATAAACTTTTTGAGAAGGAAACGTGATATGATGTCACATTTAATTAATTAAGTATGATCCATTTCAAAACTAAGAAATAAGGTTGAAAATTTCAAAAATTATATATTAATTAAGTTTTATTCATGAAATAATTAATTAAAAATATATTTTATTAATTAAATATATTAAGGTCGTAATTCTGTACAATTTTATCCCAAATTATTGAATTAATTGCTCACAAGTTATTTCTCAATCACAAATAAAAAATTTTATAAATCATAAATTATTTTTTTATTACAAATCAAAAATTTTATAGGTTATAATTTATTCATCGATTATAAATCATAAATTTTATAAGTCTTATTTTAAATAATGGTCCAAATTATCAAATTAATTAGTTACAAGATATTTCTCAATCCCAAATTAAATAAATTATGAGTCACAATCATATTTTTTTAGGTCAACTACCACACCACCACCACCACCACAACCATTACCATCACCATCACCATACGACAAAAAATCACCACCACAGCAACTGCAAAACCACCACTACAACACCGTACCATAGGAACCTACCGTCATCTAAGCCCACCGTCTTCGATGTCGGATCTAATTAGAACAATCAGGGCCATCACAACATTGCAGTAACTAGGGTCATCGTGACATCGCAGCAACCAGGGCTGCCACGAGTTCCCATTAGCGACCGAAAGAACCGTGACACCGCCGCAACTTACATCAATCATGCACTACAATGAGACATATGTGAGAGAGAATTGGGAAGGTAACGCCGCCGCGACTTCGCTACTTACCCATGTGATGATGACGGCGACTGGGAATTGGGATGACAACGCCGCTGCGACTTCACTACTTATCAACGATGACGGCGGTGGCTAGGAACTAGGATGCTTACGCCCGGTTTGTGATAAAATTTGGTGGTATTATTAATTTTAAAGTTTTGAATTAATATTTGATTTTTGTATAAACAAACTTCAGATCTGATTTTTGAATTTGGATCTTAAAAAATCTGGTAAGGTGTAATTTCTACTTTAATTAATGTGCTTTTAACCCATTATGAGAAAGAACAATGAAAGTAACGTGCAGAACCCAGCCGGTAAAGGGTAACCTAAAAATCCTTGAAACAAGGTCTTATATTACAAAACCTTAAGATTTCTAAATTATATATACATATTAAATATTTTTGGAGTCTAGAGTGTAGGAACTTCCATAAATAGGGACTTGGAGATCCATCCCAAGCCTCTATGGAATCCGAAAGTCCACACAACTAGAATTAGAGTTAGGTCTAGACTTTGTGATTTCTTTAAGATGATGACAAGTTTATTGTTTGAGGTGAAGCATTTTGACAAGAAAATATAATAATAATTTGTTGAAATGTTGTTAGAAATGTTTTAGTGTAACAAAGACTTATATTTGCTTTAGGTGATAGATCGATCAAAAATTGAGATCTGCATGAAGATTTTTTTAGTTATTCCGTCACATTCTACTCTAGCTTTAGGGATGCCAATGGGACGGGTCGGCCATTCATACCTCGTCCCATCGGATATTTTTGTTATCTTACCCCATCCTCATACTTGTTTAAAGCGGGACGGGACGGGTTCGGGGCGAGATCGAGGCGGGGCGGGGCAGGTCATTTGCCCCATTTATTTTATTTTTTACTTTTATTTTTTTATGCTTTTACTTAATAAATATTATTACTTTTTTACCAATTTATTAGAAACAACATATGTTCTCTTTAAAAATATGATATATCTATTATTTTTGTTTGATAAAAAACTTAAATTTAAAATTAATTTTAAACGGGACGTGTAGAAGGGTGGGGACTATGATTCCCGTACCCGCCCCACCCCTTCCTTGCTTACCAGATTAAGCGGGTAATTCCCACTCCGTTCGGGACGGGGCCTCACGGATTTCGGGTTGAACGGGTATATTTGCCATCCCTATCTAGCTTATTGAGAGCATTGTCCCAAACTAGTCCTATTTCCTATATTAGCACATTGATGTTATGTTTCATCTTAGTAAGTATTGCACAATTAAATTGCTATATGACAATGACTTTGAGATTGACGATGAAGATAAAACAATAATTTTGATGCCTTCTTTGTATAAATCATACGAGATGGTGGTGGCTAATTGCTAGTTTGAAAAACCACTTTGACAGCGAATGAGACTTCTACTTCTCTATTATAGACTACCAATTTCAAGACGTCATGTTGTACTTATCATGGTGAATAAGTTTGTTTTGACAAAATCCTTTGACAAGGCATTGGAAAGGTGAATCACCATGAATGAATTATCTTAGGATTTTCAATCACATTTCGGAAGAGATGTGCAGTTCTATGATTGTCACAAAAAACAGACATCTTAAATTAAATTGACAAGGTATCTTGAAGCGACGAGATGTCAATGTGCCTCAAATTCTACTAATGATATCGATCATGACTTTGACTATCGCAACAATCTTTATCTTGTTACATATTATGAAATTTTATGTTATTTTTGAATCTTGAATTCTAGATTTTCACCCCATATATGCACATGCAGGTGCACAATGAGAAACTTAAAGTTTATGATTATCTTTAGGGAGCTCTAGATACAATATATAGGTTGTGATTATATGCAAATGATGGTACGATGAATGTGTAAAAATATTCTTTTCCGATAGTGAATGATAAATGGTGGCATTTTTGAAAAAAAAATTATAGGGAAGACAACTTTAGGTGGACTTTTAATGAGGAGTTGCACCAAGGTCCTCTTTTATTGTAAAACATTGTAAAGTGATGGTTTATGGTCAATGATAAGAATAATGCGGAGAAATTCGAGTCAAGTTTAGTGCATCTTTAAACTTGATTCATGTTTACTATTGATCATTGGTAAGTATAAAATTTATACTTATCTAAACCATCAAAAGTGACTTTTGAGATTATTATTATGAAGCCGATGCGTAATTATGTGTATTTTTGGATTATTTTAGGAGAAAACTTGGGATTGGAGCGAATTTTGACAAAGAAAGACGAAATTGGAGAAAAATCTGCAATTTTGGAATTAAATTCTAAACTTTAGAAATCCAATGATTGACTTGCACTCTTTGAAAGATTTAACGCCTTGAATGCAATTGTAATATGAGTTAAATTGGTGGCAGAAAAGTATTGTAAGGGAGATGAAATTGCTTTTGAAATGTTTTAAGAAAAAAATACACACTAATTAAGAGGAAG